TATATATATATATATATGGTGTCAATACAAAATCCCCTGGACAGGGTGATCCTCTCATGCATTAACCTCTTACTTTGCCAGATTTATGTTTTCACAGTTGGAAAGCCTTTACTCTTTGTTTGTTTTCCAATGAGAAATTAAAAATGAAAGTGTGTATGTGTGCATATTTTTTTATTTTTATTTATGTGCATATTTACCGCTGCTCGGTATCTTGAGTCTGTTACCCGATTCATCGCGTGACCTTCTTTTCACTTCTGAAGCTCTTTCCTTCTTTTCTCTCTCTCTCTCTCTCTCTCTCTCTCTCTTTAAATACCTTGATTTTCTGTCTCTCTGCTCCTCTATTTTTCTCTTCCACTGAATATTTCAAGACACAAAAATGGCAACTCTGAACCTGGGGCACAACTGCAACAAAGAGCCGAACTCTTGAGTGCTTTTATAGCTGAAGGAAATGGTTTAGCCCTCTTCCATATTGCCATTCAGTTTATTTATTTGTCTTTTTGAGTTAGCAGAATCTACACCTATTCATGTTAAAGCATTTGTTCGATGTGCAGGACTGCGCCATATACATCTTTTTTGTAAATGTCCATTGTATGTCCTTGGGTTGAGATCTTCTCTCTTGACATGCTGCATCTCCTCTGCTCCTTCCCTTTCGCTCTCGGCATGAGGAGCTTCGTTTTGATTTACAATCCCATTATGTCTGCAATAGGCTTTCTGTGGAGCTCTTTAGAGCCGTCTGGCTGAGCTACTAAACCAGCTTTGAATTAAGCAGCTCTTGTGGGCGCTTCCCTAAAGATGCACAATAGCCTTTAACATACAAAGGAGAGCAAGGGGAAACAAAGTCAATCAACTGGGGAAAAAATGCAAAGAAAAATCAAAACTTGTTAAAAACTCTGATTCATATTTTGTGACACAAAGTGGAAGGATGTGTTGTCAACATCAGGAAATTCTCTTGAACTCTTTAAATCTGATTTGGACACGTGTCAATCCCTATTCCCCATAAGTGGCTGGAGCTCTGCTTTGAATTGCGATGACATTCTGTTCTTTTCCCTCTGCGTCCTCTTCTGTCCCCTTTGATCCTCAGTCCAACATTCCCAGTATCTGCCTCTGACCAGATGGTTTGAAATGAGAGTATTTACAAAGGTATTAGGGCTAAGCAACCCTGCCTTGTTCTCTTCGCTGCTAAGCACTGACACAAATTATGATGAAAGCTCAGAGCTTCAGTTAAAGGGTCAGTTCACCCAGATCACATGAAAAAGGTCATTGTACACTGGGAGCTGATCCTCGAGGGCCGCTCAAATTACTTCATTTCATACAGCATGAATGTGATGTCATGATATTTCAAATTCATTATTTGTAAATTGATGACTGACATTTGCATAAGTTTACAGAGTTTTACATCCATTTCTAGACTTAATATGAGGCTTCAGCAGTCTGAGTTAGACAAATCAAGTTGGTATTGTCCGGAGTTGCAGCTTTTTGAGTACAGACTTCCCTCTTTGTGTTTCCCCTGGACAATGTTTACTTGCTGTAGAGAGGAATCTCCTTCTAAAAAGACTAACAAGACACACTCTTGGTTTGACTACCTCGGGCGGCTAAAGCCTCATAGCGAGAGCTGACCTTTATTCTATTGTATAAAGAATGAGGACTGACCATTGTCCACCATTGTTTACAGTGGAATCACATTAGGAGACTCTTCAGGGCCAGTACGGATGAACATTTAAATTAGCCAATAACTTGCAATGTTCATATGGGCGTATATTATTTTAAAATTGATTTAAAAAAAATAAAGTGAACTTGACCTTAAAGTTGAGTAAATATGTTTCATTGTTAAGTTCAAGCCACCAATTATGACAACCTCCCTGTTCCTTTGTGCTCAGATTATGAATTTTAAAGGAAACAGAACAAAAAAAAAATATATATTAGTGATTTGTACTTCTCTCTACCCCCTCATTTCCTGTTTCCTCTCTACTATCGACTTGTGATGAAAGTATAAAATACCCCAAAACAACTTAAGAATAACAACCAAAGACCCTGAATAAATTAGAAGACAATCAAACAAATGCCTCCATACAGGAAGTTCCATCTGTTCCCTTAAGAAACAGGTGTCACTATAAATCAATACAAAGTTATTCAGAGTGATCAATGTTGAAACATCCTGATGGCAGTAGTGTCTTTTCAGGACAACACAGCCCCCATCCATGTGGCACCAGGGGTAACTGAATCATTTGATGAGTAAACTAATTTTTACATTGCATTGTCATTCAGATTCTTGCGCTTTTTGTAAAAGGTGTTTTTTTTAAACACCATCTTTTGTTAGTGCTAGATAATGTATTAGCACTGATGATTGTAGTGTTGTTAAATATCAACTTTGTCTCAAAATCCTTTAATGTTGTCATCAAATGAAAACATGCAACGGGGCAGTTCTTAGACAAACTCTATAATTAATATGTATTTATTTCTCCCAATCTATTTCCGTCAGTAAAAGAGCATGATAATTACAGCTTTTATATTAAAACCCATCATTTTCTTTTCTATAAATATCTGTGTTGTCAAAATACTAGAATTTCTAACTTTGATACAATACCTTAAAAATATCCATATTTGACAGCATTTTTGATTCCTTGGAGAAAAATTGACAATATTGAGAGCATGAAGTTTGAGATAAATATAACGAGGCTATCATGTGACAACGACGACTTGTCTTGACTAGCAGCAGAGAATAGCAGAGTGGGTACTGCAGCGGTGTGTGTGTGTGTGTGTGTGTGTCAACTCACTGTTGGAGAGAATAGAGAAATAGAATGTGCAGCTGGTACCGGTGTATCGAAAATAAGTATTGAATCCGTTTTAAATTAATAATTAAACAAGCTGAATCCATATTCTTGACAACAGTAGCAGGAGTGTTTAATTAGAGCTCTAAAGTGGATGACTGCTCACTCGGGTCATCATCCTACATCCCAGAAATTAGTTCAGTAACTAAAGCAGTCAGGCTGAGTAGCTTTGGAGTCCATGCCTGTTTGGACTTAGTCATTAGTGCATGTGCTGCTGAAGCAGTGACGGCAGCTCTTCCAGAGAGCTGAGCCGATGCTCTTGAGGAACGTCAGGTTGGCTGTGCTTGTCGTGTCTGTCTAAAAGGAACCCGTGGATGCCCACAGACCTAGAGGCGAGGTAATCGTTCATATAGTGGTCCCCAATATGAGCTACATTAGCAGCTAATACTCCACATCTCTGCAGTGCCTGATCGAAGATGGCTGGACTCGGCTTTGCTATACCTGCTTCCTCTGATGTAATCAAAAAGCTGAAGTGAGACAGCAGGCCACAAATGCGTAAAATCTCTTCTAGGCGGCTGTCAAAGTTGGATACCACACCCAGCTCCAGTCCTAGAGAAGAGCATCTCTCCAGGGTCTTCTGTGAGTCTGGAAATACCTAAAACAAAGCAACAATACACAATTGTAAGTTGACATTTTCTGTGCTTCTTCATTCACGACTGTAAACATTAATATAAAAAGCAAACAGTAGTAATGCACAAAAAATGCTCTACAAAAAGACAGTTTTAAACACAACCAAAGAATCGTTTGACGATGACTGTAATTGTAAATAAATTATTCATTCATTATTATTTATTTTATGTGTATGCCACATGTCATCTGCAATTTACCTCCCAGTTCTCTGCATTGCAGAAGTTATGATAAAGGTTGTGAGCCATTGTATTTAGCAGGGCTGGGTCCTGTACCCTGCACTGGCAGAAAGTGTCCCGCACCACCCTCATCCACCAGGACCGTCCATCCAGGCCCTGAGCGATGCCATAGTTTGGGTATCTGCTGGAATGATGTCGATATGCCTGGCGGAAAGCAGCTTCAACCTCCACAGGACTGAGGTTCAAGCCCACTCGTTCAGCCTCCTTGCAATACTGCTCTCCCACAGATGCACGCACCTTCAGCAGGGTGTCTTTCACATCCCATAACACCCAGCGCAGAGGAGCTCGCATTACACCTAGAGAGGTAACACCACAGACATAAGACAGAGGAGTGTCAAAGCAAAAAGATTCTTCAAATCAAATGATTCCTCCCCAGGTTGTTTCTATGTAAATGACTCAACTTGCTAGTGTTAATCAAATTCTACACAGTGAAGTAAAATTATCCCAATGTAAGGCAATATAAAAAGTATTGTACAAAAGGCCTTTTTCAGACATTTTGACATTTTAGCACAGGTGTTACTACATTAAGTACCAATAAAAATGATAAGTGTAAATTGTCCTGCCACAAAGGGTGATATATAATCAGGTAGCTTAAATAGATACTGAACACTTAAACATTTTAGAACTGTAAGCTTAACTATATGACTGTACTGTGATGAAACATCAATGCTGGTGTTAATATTGACATTTCTAGCCAAATTGAGAGGATAAATCGTCATTTCATGGGTTGAAAATGGCTCAACACGCCATCTGCTGTTTTAAACTAACCCTGAACATTGCAAGGCCAATGCTGACAGAGTTGGGACTTATCTATGTTATGAAATGTATGTAAAAAAAGAATGCTAACATCCTCTAATAAAGAGGCCAGGAGATGTCACTGAGCAACCCCGGCCTCAGACATCCACACCCCCTTCTTAGCCCTTTGACCATTCTTTATTGTTTCCATTTATCAGTGGGTAGTGGGTCAGACTCAGACCTGGAGTTCCACATTAATGGAAAACACCTGCGTGCATGGACCATGAATGTTTAGTGTCCTAGTAATATCAGCATTGACGATACCAGCACCCTGAAAACGAAGCAACTACATGTAATTCAGCCACCATTAATTATGAACCAGACAACCCTGTGTTATGTTAGCGTTAGCGTTACACATTATCACAGAAGGTTAATGTTAAATCCCTGCTGACGCTCATTATGACACACACACACGTAAAACGTTACGCCACCTAACTACATGCTGTTGGGTACAAGTTCTGACCAGAATAACAAATATCATACCTGGCTAACGTTACGTAAAATGTCCTTGTACTAGCTGTGTTATTACATTTACGTTTAACAACGTTACGTTTTCCATATTAGCTACTTGTCAGCCTTTGTTTGCACAGAAAGCTAACATTACTCAAGCAAACACACTACAGAGGTTTTAAAGTTTAGCACGTAAAGTTACCGAAGTCAAATCTTCAGAGCTGTCAGCGGCTGTGTTGTAAACAAGCGTCCTAGTCTTCTTCTTCGCTGGTTCTTTTAACGGCAGCTGTTACCATCGTCTGCAGTGGTGTGGAGTTTTAGCTCTTCTGAAGTCCACTCCCTGGTTTAATTCACCCTCCCCAAAATGTGTCAATTAACAAACCAATCCCATATTATCGCTAATTGTTATCCCAGTGTCTGCTTTAAATGTGGCTGGTTGAGTAGTAGTAGCATTGTATTTATACATCCAGTACAGCAGGCGGCGGTATGTTCAAAACAGTAGCTACCAAAAATGTCATCTACCAGAGATGTACGCATGCGCAAAGGTTACCACGCATGTAGTCAAGTGGAGCAAAAGCAACCGAAAACAAACTCCTACGCGTGCGAAGTATCAAGAGATGTCACCTAGCTAACCTTATATCGTTTCACTAGTTCAAGAAGAAGGAAAGACCTGATGTTACTGACGTAATGGCAACTCCAGCTCTTCGGATGTTTCGGAGGTTAGAGGGTCTGTTTTGTGTGTACAAACCCTCTGGTGTCCACTGGAAACTCGTTCGGGATACCATTGAGACAAATCTTCTTAAAGGTGAGCACAACATATCCTTAAAATCCTACCCTGCGGTCCATCAAACACTCGCAATTACATTTATTTGCCTCCTGTTAGGCATGATACCGTTAATGTGCAGATTAGCATTTGACAACCAGACACTCAGCATTCTCTTTAACCTTGGATTCCATGTAAATCACTGTATCCTTCCCTCTGTATGTGTCCTCTTACAGGTTTAGACGCTGCACCGTCCCAGCCACTTCCTCGGGAGGTCCGCTTCTTGGCGCACCCAGTCAGTGAGACTGAAGCACCCAAGGGACTCTCACTGTCTGCAGCCTCTGTGCCAGTACTGTCCAAGCATCCTCTGGGTATGTGTGTGTGTCAGCTTCTCCTGGGTCACCTGCTTACTGTCCACACACATCAGCACACAAGTCTTCTCATGTAATGCTGTCTGCCCTAAGGACTCAAATAATTAATATTTGTTGCTACAGTGCTTTAAAAAAAACAACAACTCTCATATACAACGTGTCCCATGTGTAGTTTATTGAATCACTCAAGTAATGTGATTTCAATTTGATGTTAGTAAAAATCATGACGTGGTTAATATCTTGTCTGGTGAGCCAACGTTCTGCCATTATTAAAATGCAGACATACAGGAATATATGCATAATTGATTGAATAAATCAATTCACTGCAAGGTCACCGTGCACCTGTTTCAGTAGCCAAAACCATGAACACCCCCTACTCATGAATTGAGAAAAAGAAATGTTCAACTGTTAACAATACTTTGTCAAGTATTTTGATCAAGGACATGAATGGTTTGTTTCTTCTCACGCATGTTGCAAAAATTAAATGTAGTTTTAACTTTTCCCAAACTACACTCGTTTGTTTTTTAATTGTAATGTTAATTGCACTTGTTGGACATGTCAAAATGGCTTCTCTGAAAAAAATATCAATTGAATTATTTTTTTTATTTTCCAGGACATATTAAGGTAAACCATGTATGAAGTCTATGCTGATGGCTCATTAGCGACTTCAGAAGTGCAGGTTGATATTAGCTGGAGTGACAGTCTGCACATTGACTGTATATAAGTGAATAAAATGTGTTTCCTCTCGTGTGTTTTAGTCACTGGACCTGAATTCCAGCATATTAGAGTTGGAGTAGGACATCGCCTGGATGCATTCTCTTCTGGTGTTCTGGGTATGATTTTACAGCTGAGTTTTTTTCAGACCACGTTGTATTTAAGTTACGAAGTCTTTCCGAATATTCACACCGGTTTTTAACTTTAGTTCTTGCTGTCGGGAACGGAAACAAGGCTCTGAATGATTTCTACAGAACACGAGTCACAAGGGTAATTTAAGATTTCTGCTGGTTTTACATCAGATACAATGAGGATACAATATACACATGTTTAATGCTGTTGTTGCAGGGTTACACTTTGGAGGGTGAATTTGGGACTGCAACAGATGATTTCTCTCACACAGGCAGAGTTGTGGAAAGATCCACTTACGGTATGATAGCTTACCTTTTTTTACCTGAATGTATTCAGTTTCAACAGTTGATTCTGTTCATGACACATAGTTTTAGATCATTACAATTTAGACAAAGTATTGTATCCAAAGCAACACAATGACGTTAGCTCACTACTGATATTCAATAATATGGTCTCATAGCCATTCGCTCTGTTATACTGTACCTGTAAATAATTGCATTAGAATTTGTTTTTGTTTTTTGTCAGTATCTATTTAGCATACTAGTATTTGTAAACATGCCTTTGCTACATTTACATCTTTAAAATGTAGGACACTTCATTTATTAATCACAAGCTAAACAAAGCTTAAGCTCACTTTATCAGTTAATGTTCCTTGTGCTGTTTCTCACCCTTAAATATCGTGTTCAATAGGTCACATCACACAGGATAAGATGGACAGAGTCTTAGCGATGCTGGAGGGAGCCAATCAAAAGGCCTTGTTAATGTAACTAAACCTAATATTTTTTTACATTTCCATAAACACAAAATGAATGAAAGATGTTTTGCTCTTAAGTTCCTTCTTATTAGACTGTTTCTCTCTGTGCTTTACTCTTGAATCAGACTCCATGCACATATGATCAGTCCACAAAGTTACTTTAGCACAGCCACAGTAAAGTGCCTAATTATTATTATTTGTACATGCAGTGTAGATGACTGTTTTTGTTTTTGTATAAAGGTATTCCAACGTGGACATGCGCTCACAGGAAGCCTATGAGATGGCTGTGCACGGTTTACTGGGTCCAGAGGGGAAATCGCAGCCTATTTTGACAGGCTTGCGTTGTGTTCACTTCCAGCCCCCCAACTTCACTTTAGGTAAATAATCTTCAATTGAACACACAGAAAACCTCATTTCATGATTTGAAATATGCAAATATTCAGGGATACCGACTGATATTTGTGTCTCTGTTCTTACAGAGGTGCAGTGTTTAAATGAAACTCAGAAATATTTGCGCAAAGTCGTGCATGAGATAGGACTCGAGCTGCGCAGCACAGCAGCGTGTAAAGGAGTTAGACGGACCAGAGACGGACCCTTCACCCTGCAGGATGCTCTGATCCATCACCACTGGACTGCTTCGGATGTTATACAGGCCATCAGACAATACCACTCTAAAAAAGATCAAAAATATTCTCACACACAGATCAAGGACCCAGCATTTCAATCAACAGAAGAGAGTACGACGACTCAATGCAATGAAACTAGCGAGGAAGCAGCAGTAGGCACAATTAAATAACTTGTTGCTGTGAGGAGCAGTTAATACAAGTCACAGAACTGCTCACTTCAGTTGGAAAAGAGATGTGAAAGAACACAGATCCTGGTTCCTGAAAGAGAAACGGTATTTGTTTTATATGCAGAGTCCTCTCCATCCACAAAGACACTTCCTGCATCTCATATATATTCCAAAGTGTTCACCTTTGTTATGCAGGTAAAATGTTATACGGTTGTGCATGTAATATTAACTTAATCCCAAAATCATATTATGACATTGTTTGTTTTTGATGAAATTAAAAAAGAATTTGACCAACATTCTTAAGAAATCTGTTTGTTTTTGCTGCAATTTGATAATTTTAATTTGTCAGTGTCTATAGACAAGATATTAAACTGTGAATTAGTACGAAGTGGCTTTTTGTATGACAAGTAAAGTTAAATCAACACTCTTGAAGGTCTGTAGATGACAGGATGCACATATTTTATCAGCAGAAAACAACCACAAGTCATTTACAACTTGCCATATCCTGTTTAACAACCTCATCTCTGCTGTGGTTGTTTCTCTTTCAAACAAAGTCAAATCAATAGATAACCAGCCAGCCAGCTTTACCACTGTTAACATCCACCATGCATTGCGTCTTTGAAACAACTCATTTCACATGTCTGTAGTTCCCCATCATTTTTAGGGGGTTTCCTGGAAAGAACTTGAAATGTGACACTAATTACGGGGAAAATGAGACATTCCTTGAAAACGGTAAAGATGAATTAAATATTCATAGTTATTGAAAACGCTTTTCTAAATACGTGTTCCTACATCGTACATAAAGCAACTTCATGTTGAACAAAGTGACAATGTTTACATGTTCCAGACTAAAACTGAATTATCTGAATAAATTAACAGCAACAAGATAAATTCTCCTGCTGGGTAAACCACTCATATTGGATTCGGTGTAAACGTCTTGTGTCCTCTGATGATGTTGGAAGATGCTCTCAACAATTCTGTTTCCCACAAAAGCTCCTCTGGGATGTTATGAGGTTATTGCAGTGGCGTCATTGTTGTCATGCTCTTCATACCATTGAATGACTTGTTCCCACAGGAACAATGTTGTCTTTGTCTGGAAACACTCAACTTTCACAAGGACACAAATGAACTATGTGAGCATGCAGTCGTCATTCTGGAGGTTTATTAAGCATGAGGCAAGACATTAGAACAATTTGATATAAGGCATTAAGTCACACAAGTTGCAGGCAAATACACAAACACGATATGTTAACTGATAGTTATTTTACTACCTCTCTCTTCAATTGTAGATGCATGAAACGTATTTATGATTATCTGACAACTGTGTGACAACTGCAATGATGCCATTCATTAAGAACAGATGCCGAACATACAAAATCAAAAGAAACTTAATGTAATTATTGAATAACACTGCACGAAACAGCTTCAACAATGAAAAGATGCTTTTGTTCGCAAGGTTATTGCACAAGATACTTCGAATCACGGAAATATTCTACAAAAAGTCATATTTATTATAAAAAGTATTCATTTTGGTAGATCCTTGATAAAGTCAATGTAGTACCACGTTTTGTAACTTCAAATTTGTAATTTGCCAGTTAAGATTCAGCAACAGCTAAATGTTGCATGCTACATACACATTTATAATATACAATTTTAAGTAAAACTATATAGACATGATAGAAGATATACTCAATAGCTGGATTCTCTTTGTTGAAATTTAGTTGTTTTTTTTTAAATATAAAGGACCTGAGAGACTTCTGAACAGAACATGTTTAAGTATTAAAAGTTAAGTTTCTCATTGAGATTAGTTAATTTATCTTTAAATGCAACTACCTCAGTCTGAACACGACTGCAAATACTGACTTAAAGCATTCATTTCAAATTGCAGAGAAATCAGTCTAACAAGATAAAACAGTGCAAAATGATAAAAAGAATACCATTATTCATTATGTAATAACTACTTGCTTGATCACTTACACCTGTTCACTGACCTGCCTCTAAAGTGAGCCTGCACCAGCTATACAGTATAGTATATACATGGAGGTATACAGTAAGTACACATCAAAGCATATCAAGCTCATCTGTAAATGCTCCATTTTGAGTATATTTTATGTCTTACTGGGAAAATGTGAGAGTAATAGCTTACTCTTACATTTTACTATAAATCAGTGGTTCTCAAACTTCAATAATGTACCCTCTTTGAAATATGTTTTACCCCCTGACCAGTGCAAAACATTTTGGGTGAAAAACAAGGGGGCAAAAGCGGTTTACATTTACATTTACATTGTTATTGAATTTATTGTAGTATAATTATTTGAGGAATATATATATATATCAACATTAGTAACTAACAATACAAAATATACATCCTACTTAGCCCTCCAGTACTCCAAAGCACCCATAGTGCACCATTTGAAAACACAGCTCTAAATCAATAATGTACTTGTAAGGCTTGGTAGAAATAACAAAACAGCATGTGTTGATTAAAAGATGGTTGTATTTCCACTTCAGAGAGTTTTCATCCTGTTCAGCAACATCTTGATGTTTTTCGTTGGGGCTCTTTGTGTAACACCATGGCATCATCTCTTGTGTCAACATTTTGACTCAACATCCTGGCAATAACCCAAGAACAACACGATCAGTTGCATGGATGGCAAGCAACGTTTCAGCACAACGAATATCAAAGAACATTAAGTCATACAGGCATGACAGATGGCACGAGACAAAGGAAACATTGTGTGTTACCTGGCCACAGTTTCCAAAGACTGAACCACATTTTCACCTGTGGCAGCGCTGCACTCCATGAATTCAAAGTTGTATTCCTGTGGAAATAAAATGTCCGTCTTTAGTGCGACTGTTTGATCAGAACTATGTATGTAAATTCTGAGCTAAGAGTGTGCAAGGAAGTAAGATCACAGATCCATACCTTTGCAAGGATTTCCGCCTCCTGAGTTTTAACCTGCCGCTCTGCACGATCACTCTTATTGCCAACAAGTAAAATGGTCACACTTTCTGCAGCCCCTTCCTGCAAAATTGTTTGGATATCAATTCAAACATCTCTCTGCGGACCAATCTGACTCTAGTCTGGCTTATACGTTTCAGACAACTAGGTCCGTTGTGCTATTGATCCTTATGAAGCTGTTATTTAGTTTGCTACCAAATAGTTCAGTGAAGACTGAAAATGATATCCATCACACATATCAATATTGGAATGCAATGTATGATTGATATTCAACATGTTTTACAATATATTGCTTGTAGTTACTGTAAATGAGTGCTACAGAGCACAGGTGCAACTTTACAGTTTATCTGACCTTGAATGAAACCTGTAACAAAAAACAACAACATTATAAACAAAACCAGTGACAACATACCTGAATACACTTTGCCCAGTAGCTGACTGCAGAAAAGCTCTGGGAGGAAGTGATGTCATACATCAAGAGAAATGCGTGGGCTTTGTGGAAAATCTGTCTTGTGATGCTGTGAAACCTTTGAAGGATAAGAAAGAATGTAATCTGATTACAGGTTGCCTTTTTTCTTTTTTTAATCAGCAGAGGCCACCAACGGTGAGAAACACTGGGCCCAAACAGCCCAAAGGTGTTTAGTTGTGTGTCTTCTGGACATCTTTCCTGGAGGGACACACTAATTGCACAATTGCCTCCACAATGTAACACACATAACATGTCGAGGGAATTTCACTCTACATACACCCGCGTTATAGGGCAACAAAGTTAGTGTCAAACTTTGCATTTTCAGACTAATATCTGCTTATGAAAAAATGAAATGATTGACTCTGGGTTAAGTTTACATAACAAAGATATGCGTGGACTCTGTGGACTCTATAGGGACATTAGCGAACTTCTGCATTCCCCAACAGCCTTTTCACTGTCAACATCTGGTGCGTTAATTCCAGCATACACAACATTGCTGGGGTGTGACAAAACCAGTTCTGAAACAGGTTACAAACTGGCCTGAGGGAGATTCGTGTGTTTGGAGCACATTGTCAGCACATGTTCTGGAAGGCCACTGCCAGTGCTAACTCATATGTACAGTATCTGTGCTCAGCTCGTTGCTGAGAACCCGGGATGCTGCCTTCAGATTGGGTGACAATGAGAAAACTTGTCCCAGACCACCAGAGAGGCAAAGTGCTTCTGTCCAAATGCTAAACAAATGACAACCGGCCTGTAGCAACAACACCAGTCATCATGAAGTGCTTCATTACGTTAGTCATGAGGCACACATTTATATTTCCGTCTTTAAAGGCAGCTTGCTCAACTGTAATCTACCTCAATAGGGACAGATTGAGGGACACCGAAACACTAAAATAGTTATTATTAATGCTGGATGTAGTTTGACCCGTTCTACACCTCTCTTATTTCCTATTGCAAAAATGTCTCATTTATTACAAAAAAGTGCTTCCACCTTTAGTTCATGTTTGATTCCAACAGCAATAAGTGGAAGAAGTGCCCCATTAATGCGCTGTAGAAGGATCCTTACCTTTCTTGACCCGCTGTATCCCACAACTCCAGCACCACAGGCTTTCCTTCCACTACCATGGTCCACATGCAGGAATCAAGTCCTACAAAATGCCTTTATGTAACATTATTCTGTATATTTCCCCACATTTGTGGGAATATGATAGGATAATGATCAGGATCTTACCAACAGAGGCGGGTAAATCTAAAGAAAACTTCCCACTTTGAGCTCTTTTCATGAAGGAGGTTTTGCCGACACTGCTGTCTCCAACCATCATCACATTATAAGCGTTTGATCTCAAATCTGCTCGACGTCCTGCAAACAAGAGCACCTTCTGGTCACACATTGTATTTCTATTTCTCCATTTAAACTTCCCTCTCTCATTATCTCTGACTGCTGTGTGTGAGTATGAATGTCCTGTTTACCCAGAGAAAACGTCTGTTGACTCTCTTGGCTTTGGATTTCAGCATAATGGTGTTGAACTGGAGACACTGGTTCAGGTGTCTTCTCACTGTTGAACAGACAACCAAACATAGTTCAAACAAAACACAGCACATACAGTGGCATGCTAAAAAAATGTCACATTCAGGTGTGTTTTTAATCGTCAGACATCTGTATCCTCCACCAAACCACATGTTATATTTGAAGTTGAGATAAAAAACAAAAACTACAAAAAAAGGAAAAATATTTAAGTGTCATCTTTATCAACTTAAATGAATAATCATATTAAAGAATGTTAGAATTATTATACTGATTTATCCAAAAAACATGAAGCGAACACACTTAAAAACAAGATTTTCAAAACACACCTCCCCCAGAAAAGGCCCACTTTAACAATTTAAAAGCCTACAAACACACATCTCTCTCGTCTCCTTACTCAGACCAGCAGTGAACTCCCTGTGATGTGCTAATCAGCCTGTTAGGAGGCTGGATTTCGAAACAAAAACTGATAAAATGAATTATGCTGTAATAATTTTTCCGACATTTGGCCCATGTTGATATGAATGAAGCATCTTATCTGATAGTAACCCAACAGCTAGCTAGCCGGACGAGGCTCGTTGTTTAGATCTCTGTTCCTCAGTGTCAGACTTACCTCACAGGCCTCGAGTGCTCTCCTTCCTTTGAGGCGCTGAGGTTGGATGATGGATTCTTGTGACTTTCATCAACCTGAACAGACAAAAACATCTCAAACATGAGGTGACAATAGGGGAGATTCTACTTCGATTTGCAGATTTCACCTTCAATCCATGACTTTTAGATTATCAGCATATTGTTTTCTCATTTATTTTCCAAATAATAAAATGTTAGTTTTCATTTGTTTTATGTTAAGTTCTGGACAGTCAACAATTGCTTATCCAAGAAATAATGCTCTTGCACACACAGAGTGAGGCGTTTGTTTTGTGAAGTTTTAGGAGGATATTATAAGATTTTCAGGAATTTGTAGGCTACTGTTTGTATAATGACTTCATGTTACAACCACTTAAATATGACATTTTATAGAAAGGAAAAGTAACCAGGCTTTTATTTTAATACGTGTACATAAAAAGGGTATTTTTTTATATACTATATATGTGCATTACTAGTAAAACATTTGGCCTTCTCTCTGTCATTAAAGTGAATAAAAACAAGCTGAATGCTTTCAACAAACACACCCCATATTAGATCAAGAAGCAAGATACATGTTTATGTTCTCCTTTTCAGCATGCGAAACATTTCGTGTGGGCCACATGTTCCTCATTTTGGTTCATTGAGTCATTTTGTTGTTCTTGCAACACGCAATTGACCGGTGTGCAAGAAGATTTTTGCAAATGGAAAGCACAGCACAACATTTACTTACTGTGTGAAAGAACAAATGTTCGTTTATAATCATTCACTTCAGGCTTAAGGCTCAAAATTATAAATATAAGAAAAAGCTGCACAATGTTTAGAAAGTTCACGAATAATTGGTCATAACTAATAAGCTAACTGCAGTCTGTTCATCAGTTTCAGTTCGCTGTGAAACAATCATAATGGAAGATTCCTACAAGAAACTATTGGATTGTAAAGGAAAAAGTACTCTTTGCTGCTTACCTTTGGTATTTGGTCCGGGCCCAAACATTCTTCTCTCAGCTCTTCAGTCTTGATGCCACTTTCTTCTCTGATACTTCTGACATCTCTCTCATTTCGTGCATCTGTTATTCTGTCCCCTCTGGCAGTTTGGTTTTCATAGTTTTGGTGTCCATGTGACTTCCGGTGAGATCCCATTTTTCTTCTTCTTCCACCAGATGCTGATTCTGATATTAAATCATGTTTGGGAGAAGTGGATGGTATTGCTGGGAGATAACTGGGAGTCAGTTGAGGCTCTGTTTCTAATAGTTGGCCTTGAGAAACAGGATTTTCTTCAAATGTCTGGTGGGCCAGAGGTTTGTGAGACTCACCAGTGTCGCTGTACTCCATTGTTTCAGTGCCACTCTCTTTGGGTTTCACGTGAAGTTGTAGCTCATCTCTTATGATGCTTGAGGAACTTTCAGTCTTTACATCTCTAACATTAGTTGCAGTCTCTGTTGCTTCATCATTCATGTCCTGCTTTTGATGCAAGTCTTCTTGTTTGGTTCCTGTTCCAAGATTCCTGCGGGTGGAGCCCATCTTTCTTCTCCTGCTGGTTGAATCTAAATGTGAACTTGCATTCTTCATCTCAAGATTTTTATTGTGAGCTCCTTCATTTGCATTGTCCAGCTCTTGTTTACTCGCAGATTGCTCAGGAGGGAGAGCCTTTGAATAATCTATGTTTGAAATCATGTTGCTCTGCAGGTCAGAGCTTTGTAGCTTTTGCCCCTTGCCGTCCACAGTGCTGGTTTCATTGGTTTCCTGTTGCACAAGACTTAGTGACGGTTTTGCATTTTCATTCTGTGATGCGTCCGCAGTTGCAATCATTGTTAACTCCTCCACTACTTCCATCTTGTCAAAAATTCTCATGTCAGCTTCTTTGTCACTTTCTTTTGTTTCTACTCTTGTTTCCTCTGGTTCTTTATGGAGTTGATTCCGGCGAGTAGAGCCCATCTTTCTCCTCTTCTGGTTGGACCTTCCTTGCAAATTATCAGTGTCATCTAAATTAGTTTTTTCTTGCATCCCTGGCTGGCTGGAAATTCCACTTTCCTCAGACACGTCTACAGCTGGCTCTGCTCGCAGGTTTTCATCCTTAAGGCCAATGTCAAATGTAGCCAAAGTATCAGTTCTGTTGTGTGGATCAGAAAACAGTTCAACATGCGTGATCTCCTTTGAAACATTAATTTCTTGGGCTTCGTGTTCTTTCTTCGTATGTTCTTCAAATTGTTCTCCATCTTCATCCTGTCCATAAACGTGTACATACATTGAACTCTCTGGTCCTGTTTTACAGTCTTTAATTGTGACATTTCCAACAGTTTCTGATGTATCATTTGTCTGTTGCATAGTACTTTCTTTGTCAACATCCTCAGTCTCTTTTATGGGGTGATTTTCCTCCTCAGTCACATTCTTATTTGATTTGACAGAGTCATCTTTGCCTGACCTTGAAGTAATATCTGTTGTCACAATTGTGTTGTTGCCCACCACATTCTGTGATAAAATTGTGTCATCCTCTGACATATTTTCTGTGTTTTCGTTGTCATTTACAGTTGATCTATTTTTTCTCATTCCCCCAGCGGATGTGGAGTCAGAGTCTTTGAAGTGCTGTCTTCCTTTGTTTCTACGACTAGACCCCAGTTTTCTTCTGT